CCTGTTTTCCTTTTGATTTTTGTTTTCTTCCTTGTTTTTAAAGCATCCCATCCAATTTTCTTCCTTCTCGTTTGATGCCAGACTGTATAAAGAGGGAAGTAAATCACCTATAGTTCCTGCCCGACTTCCAGTACCGACATTATAGAAACTGTACTAAGAGTGAAAAAATATACATGCACATCATAGCGTATATTTCAAGATTTTACGAGTTTAATACAACAAATTTCAGTCGTACAAAGTCGGGACTATTTACATGACCTGAGGGAATGTTGGTAGAAGAGTTGTTGGATTTTTAAAAAAGTAAGATCGTGTATAGGTTTAACGCCCCTATCAACACTATTAGGTTATTTAAGAGGCGGGACCTTCGAATTTAACATCCATCTCAGGTAGGACCGAGCTAAAATGGTGTGAGGGCCTTGAAAACTCCCCAAAACGAGCCGGGTTCACGAACACCAGGTCTGAGGTAAGACACAGTAAGAAAGTCGTTATAACATCAACAGAAAAGTCATGGACCCAGTATGGTGAAAAACTAAGTGACACCTGCAAGACCTCACCAAGAGAGTTCTACAAGAAGGTAAAGACAATGAGAACGAGAGACGAACTCTATGTACCCACCACTGTCATCAATGATACTAATGGAGAAGCTCTGCAAGAAGAGAAAGAAATAATAAAAATATGGGAAAAATATTTTCAAGAACTACTAGACCCATCAGGAGTACAGGCACAAAACACACAGTGCCCATTCACTGCCAACTACCCTGAGCACTCAGAACCTACCATCCTGGAGAGTGAAGTGAGAGAAGCACTGAAAACTAGTCCAAAGAACAAGGCAGCTGGAGACGATGGCATCACAATCGAAGCCATCCTTGCATGCGGCGAAACCGGAATACATTGGCTTACAATCATCTTCCAAAAAGCATGGAAAGAAAGAAAAGTGCCAGCAGACTGGCAAAATGCGATAGTGGTGCCAATATGGAAGAAAAAGGGCAGCAAGAAAGACTGCAACACCTATAGAGGCATATCTCTTCTCAGCCACGTGGGGAAAATGTATGCAAAAATCCTAGAGCGACGTACTCGCGCGAAAACCGAACATCTTCTCAGTGACGCCCAATTTGGCTTTAGAAAAGGAAGAGGGTGCACTGATGCAATCTTCGCACTCCGACAACTGTGTGAGAGGGCTTTGGAATACGACAAAGATCTCCACCTCGTATTTGTGGATCAAGAAAAAGCCTTTGATCGAGTAAATAGAAACAAGCTATGGAAGATCTTAGAGCAGTACGACATCAAGGGACAACTGCTAGACAACATCAGGGCTATCTATGCCAACAGCAGAAGCGCTGTCCGAACTACCAGTGGAACATCGGACTGGTTTCCAGTAACATCCGAAGTGAGACAGGGCTGCAATCTCTCCCCTCTGCTCTTCGTGATCTACATGGACCAGATAACAAAAGAGGCCAATCCAGACCCAGAGGCACTCAACGAACTCATGTTTGCAGATGACCTGGCAATGATTAACAACAAGACTCAGCTACAGGAGCATATAAACCAACTAAATGCGAGCTGCCAAAAATATGACATGAAGATCAGTATAAGCAAGACCGAAGTCATGACAATTAGCAGGAGACCAGGTAAAGTGGATATCAACATCAATGGATCCCAACTAAAACAAAGCAGAGAATTCAAATACTTGGGCAGCATTTTCACAGAAAATGGAAAATTAGATAGAGAGATAGAGACTAGATGTCAGAGAGCCAACGCAGTCAGCTACCAACTGGGCCCTCTCCTGAAACATCCCAATATCCCCATGAGCACCAAGGCGAAGCTCATCAACGCCATTTTCCTTCCAACGCTCACATATCAGTGCCAGACATGGACTCTAACAAAAACCCTAGAGAGGGAACTGGTCACATGCGAGATGAAATGCTTAAGAAGAGCGGTCAACAAAACAAGAAGAGACAAAATTAAAAATGAAGTCATAGGGGACACCGTGGGAGCAACACTAGTCCTACCACACATTGAAAAACAAAGGTCAAGTGGTTCGGACACCTCACGCGGATGCACTCAAACCATCCAGCTCTGAGAGCATACAACATTAAATATTCTGGATGGAGAGCCAGAGGAAGACCAAGGCGACGATGGAGTGAATCTGTGGCAGACAGCCTTAAAGATCATGGGATGTCCCTCCTACAGGCCACACGACTTGCTGCAGACAGACACCTGTGTCTCCCCGCGACACCCCAGGGTACAAGCGGAAGAAAAAAGTAAAGTAAGTAAGATGGCACTTTCGTCGTTAACCTACAGAGCCACTCGGGGACCGCCTTAGTTTGTGTGTGTTTCTTCCGGATACGAATCTATGCTTATGTTGTTGTAGTCTACCGAAATATTTGCTTTTAGATCAGTTTCAGAAGTAAACAGACCCCACTCCGTAAAAAAAATATTTGGAACTGTTATTTGACTCCTGCTTGCAGCTTGCATTTATTACACCTGTGCAATACATTTGCTTGTCGTCAAACATTTCACATTTACATGTAGCTTACCATTTATTCTAGATTTCAAATAGTTTTTATTCCCATGCGTTCTCGTTATCCAGATGTAATAAGTGTCTATGGAATAATGGTTTAAGCTCTTTACCTTTGCACGCAGAAGGTCACCACCAAGTGCCAAATCTGCAAGTAGTTGGCAGTAACGGTTCTCTATTAATTATTCCCAAGCCCGGGTTCTTAAAAGACAAATCGAAACAAAAACACCAAAAAGTTTTATTATCCTGATCTTTACCCTTCACACATCTGTTTACGCTCTTCAAGTAAGTTACGCTGGGTCGACCCCTGCCTCGTTTGCCTTCCATCTTGCCAGTGGGAGCTAAGCGTTCAAGACCTTCATGTCAAGTCAAAGATCCCAGAAACTACATCTGTTTTTTCCTTATTGTTTTAATCAACCAGCGACCCACGTGGACTTTTTCAAGTGCTACCTCGTTTGATTTCTATTATACAGAAAATGTGAGTTCGATTCTCGCCAGTGGCAATTTATTTTTGTTTGTTTGTTTGTTTGTTTGTTTATTTGTTTGTTTGTTTGGTTTGTTTCTTCCTACGTTTGTTTGTTTGTTTGTTTGTTTGTTTGTTTGTTTTAGTATATTTGTCGGTCTGCTGGAATACTGTAGCCCGACAGCCTCCGTTGGTCTTGGCAAGTAGCCCGCTTCATCATTGTCGATAGGGGAGAAAACCACTTATCATAATATAGCAATCAAGATCGTGGCTAAATGGGGTCTCGATAATGCAATGTGAATATAACTTCCAAGTAGAAAAACAGGAGATGAAAAAGATACATTCTGTTGACTATATTTTGATAGTTTTTACGATTTGTGTTGACTTATTGCCTTTTTCACTTTTGAAATGAATTTTCCTGCCGTAGTTAATGCTTTCTGCAAATATATATAGGCCTGTATATGTCAGATGAAGTATTCGCTCTTAGCACCAAGTCTTGGTTGCATACAACATACCACCCCCTCCCCCCGCCCCTCATATTCCAGTTCTTAAAATTAAGCGGCAGATAAGGAAAATAATAAGTATTTTTCTTCTTGTTTTAGCAAATACATTCACGTGAACATAATTTTGCTGGCAAATGCATACACGTGAACAGTTGAGCCAATAAGGTATTAAACTGTAAGTGATATGGAAAAAAAAATCTTTAGAATTTCAGTGGAAGTCAGCAATTATGTGATTTTCTACTGATTCTAAATATTTAATTTAAAGCAGCCAATTAAGTTTAAGAAATGTTTCTTAACGTGCATGCCTGCCTGCTCACTTGTGATTTTAACAGAGGAAATTTTAAAAAAACTTATGAGGATAGCTTGTCCTCATGCGTTGATAAGAGTCTGAGCACCGCCATTTTTGAGCTCTCGACTCTCTCCTGCCAGACCTGTGACATGGGACTGATTTATTTGCTTCTCGTCCTCAGCCGTGAGTAAATTACATGTACTATATAATTTACAATAGTGCAGATAATTTTTATAGCCCCCATCCGCGTACAAGTATTCAGCTCTATGCGCTTTACTATACCGTCATCTAAGAACAAAATATATGCATGTGCATGAATATGCTTACGTGAGCTTTTTTAAATTAACGCTAAGACATTGAAGACATTCTTACATGTGCTATCACAACACAATCAAAGACAAAATGTGTATATTTCTATCACATTATGAACATAAGAGTGCCATGAATAGTAAGACTAATAATGAGTTGTGTCTCTTTGTTGACAACCTCTCCTCCATCTCAAGTCACCCCCCCCCCCCAAGTGCTTTTTAATAAAGGTGTTTTACGCCTCCAAATTTAGAACATTTAATTTACGCCAGGACCCCTGCTTCTCAGGACCAATCCGGCCTGAGATGGATACAATGTCCCAACAGAAAGACTGAGATACTCAATACAAATTCTGGCCACATGGGAATCAAACTCAGATGTCCTGCGTCCTGCGTGCAACAGTTAAACGCCTAACCGCTACACCACAGTCACCGGTCTTCTAGCTCTAGAAATTTTCTTCATATCATTTCAAGGGAAACAAAACGGCATCCCACTGTAGTAAACCAAATGAAAGAGGACTTCTAGTTTTCAAAAGATTTAAACTACTGGACAAGTTTCTGATGATCTTGTTTTGGGTCATTTTTTATGCAGCTTTTCTAAACATGTTGTTATTGAGAGCCCATATTTATTTTGTACAAGGGGGTTCAGTTGAAAACTGTGTCAAACGGGCTCAACTATTATCAAGCAGTATTGCTGGCAGGAGGTGGAGAAGATCGCCCCGAACAGAAATAGGTGGAGAGCTCTTCTTGGCGACCTGAACACAACACCAGGGTGAAAGAGGCGAATGATGATGGTGACAATGGTGAAATGATATAGGTTTAACGTCCCCATCAACACTATGCGGTTATTTAAGACCGTCCATCTCTCCCCGAATGATGATAATAGTGAAACTGATAATAACACACTTATATTCTAGGTATA